ACCACCTGTAATCCCAGTTTCTAGGTATCTAACACTCTCTTGGCTCCATAAGCACTGCACTCACGTTCACAAAAGCATACACAGACACACATGCATATACACCTATTTTTAAAAATTCAAAAGTAAGCTGGGTGTGGTACTTTAATCCCAGAACTTGGGTGGTGGGGATAGAGACAGGTGGATCTGTGTGAGTTTGAGGACAGCCTGGTCTACAAAGTAAGATCCAGGCAAGCCACAACTACACAAGAAACCCTTGTCTCAAAAAAACCAATAAATAAATAAGCACACACACACACACACAATAGAGGAATAACTCCATGTGTAAGAACACTTGCTGAGTAAGTATGAGGACCTGAGTTTGAATTCCCAGTGTCCATGTAAGAAGTCGGGCATGTTTGTAAGCACCTGTAATCCCAAAATGGGGACAGAGACAAATTCACTGGCCAGCAATAGTGATGAACTTCTGTATCAGTGAGAACCCTGTCTCACAGCAATAAGGTGGGGAGCAGAGAGGAAGACATCCCCGTGTCTTTCTCTGGCCTCTGCTTGCTTATACTCAGGTATGAATAGTCACACAGTTGTGTGATTACACTACATACACACATACAAATACAACACACACATATAAAATAGAAATTAAAAACTAAATCGTTAAAAAAAATTATGACCTTAAACTGAACATGCTGAGGAATGGGCCCCAACTGTATGTGAATATGCTCGGGACCACAGAATAAGATCCCCAGTTTCCTCTATTGGAAGAAGTTATTGCTAGACATGCTGCAGGTGGCAAATTTGTCTTCATTATTCTGTATTGGCCAGGGTTGTTTTGGCTTAGCACTCCCCAAGAGACAGTGCCATTGTGTTCCACTCCATAAACAAACCCTGTCAGGACCCCAGGGAGCAGGCACAGCTTGAGAAAATGACAATGTGAACATTGTAACAACAGATCACTCACAGCCTCAGAGCCAAGACTGCAGTGGGGAGAGTGGGGTATGGGTCTTTCTGGAGGACCACTCCCCCCTACCTCCGAGTTTTTGCCTGGAAGGAACATGGGCTCAATGAAGATGAAATTCTAATTTTGGGGGAGAATCCAGGAGTCTCATTTTTATATCTTAAGTCAATCTTTAAAAACATTGCCCTGGCCAACTTTGTGCTGACCAAACAAAACGCAGATGTGTACTTGAGCCAGATGTGACCTTCTGAGAGCACCAGCTGAGTATAAGACAAAAGGCAGAGGGGTTCCTGGAGGGGACAGCAGGGGAAACCCCAAACATGGGCTTTGATTCCTGGAGGGGACAGCAGAAGAAACCCCTAACATGGGCTTTTTAGAGAGGAAAGGGGGCCGATGAAAACCTTGCTTCTCATTCAGAAGAGAAGGGAATTCACACTTATGGAAAATACAGGGTGGTGAGTAGCCCTGCTAGGCAGGTCCTGATTGTAGCTTCCTGGCAAACTGGCAGTGCATGGGCCACTGCTTCCAGATGAGGCATCTGGGACAAGGAGTGGTTCAGTAACCATCAGTGACACAGATATGACATGGAACTGTTCCTTGTTAATTCCAAAAGGCTTCCTGCAATGTTTCTCAAGGCCTGGCCGGCTTCCTCTGCTTACTCAAGGCTCCTGTTCACTCCTGTCTGCAGCCTCTGCCGTGCGAGTCAGCCCGTCTCCCACTGGCTTTGCTGGCTCCTCTGATACACATCTGTTCTCACTGCTTAGCACAGTCATAATTTTCTCAATTCCAGATTCTCAAGCAAGGAACCTGATTGAGTCAGGTTTTGGTGTTTTTTCCCTCAAGTTAGAGTGGACCATAGGTCAGACGCCACTCCGTGCATAAGTTAGATTCTCATCTAGCTTGTCCTATGTTGTCCTTGCCTGAAGACCAACCAGTGGAGACTAATGCCAACTCACAGCATGAGCAAGGCTCTTTGGGTACCTGAGCTTGGTCTGGCCATTTCCCTTAAAAGGGAATGTAAATATACAGTATCCCATACATCTGCCCACCCTCGTGTAGCCAGGTTGGGGGAAGCCTGGGCTTTCTACACTAAGAACTCAATGAGTGAAGCCTCCAAGGTCTCCACAGCTACCCTGAGAGCAGGACACAGCAGGAACACAACCATGTGGTTATTGTTTTCAAGATCTCAGCGAGAAAAGAAACCAAGATGATATGGCAGGTGACCACCCAGGCCCTAAGCAATTTCTTACCATGGAGTGGACTCCACTCAACAGAGCATCAGTTGGACAAGCAAACTTTCCCTCCCATAAAGAAGAGTTGCTCTGTGAGGCCAGCCATTGCTTTGCCTTCTCCTCCACAGAGACTCTCAGAGTCATCCAAATCAGCCAAGGGAGAGAAGCCGGCCTATGAGGAGGTCGAAGGGCTCATTTCCCTGAGACAGGGTTAATCATAAGTTCTCTTCAGAAATGTCTTCACTGTGAACAAAGGCTTTATCAGCTTGCACTGAGACATGGACAATTTTGTGTATTGGTCTATATATATCATCTGTAACCCATCGTCACACAAACATAATGACTAAATCCATCACCCCAAGTCTCCTCATGACCATTTTTAATACTTCCCTGCATCATTCCCATACCCCATTCCCATCTCCTGGCAAACTCTGATCATTCTGTCACTACAGTTTACATTTTCTAATGGGATTTTCCTCACCTTTTATTTTATGTTTTTTTTTTTTTTTGGTTTTTACGAGACAGGGTTTCTCTGTATTGTTTTGGAGGCTATCGGTCCAGCCCGGCCTCGAACTCACAGAGATCCGCCTGCCTCTGTCTCCCGAGTGCTGGGATTAAAGGCGTGCGCCACCACCGCCCGGCTACCTTTTATTTTATAATAGTATAGTATCTACTCAGTTCTCTCTGGCTTCTTCTCATCAGCATAGCTATTTTCTTATTTCCATCTGCTTTGCCAGGTGTGCTAAGTAGTACAGCATATCACAATTTGTTCATCCCATCAACTATTGGTGGACATTTCCTTTACTTTCAGTCTTAAATAATTACCAGCATAGCTACAGTTAATGTTTGAATGAAGCTTTTATGTTTCTTTGTTATTAATGTTTGGAGAATTTCATGTATGAGTACTATATTTATATCATTTCATCTCTTCCCTTCCCCTTCAACTCTTTCAATATCTTCCATTCCCTCTCAAACTCATGATCTCTTATTATTGTGGTGTGGTGTGGTGTGGTGTGGTATGGTGTGGTGTGGTGTGTGTGTATACACTAAGTATCTATAACTGAGTTCATCTAGTGTTGTTTATATATAGTGTCTAGTTAGGGCTGACCACAGGGGATTGGATAACCTAATTCAGAGGACTGATCCCTGAAGAAGATGGAATATTCCTCTCTCAGTAGCCATTGGTTGCCTATACCTCTTCATCTAAGGGTAGGGCCTTATGAAATTTCCTCCAACCACATTGTCATGTCAACTGGTATTATCATTATGCAGGTCTTGTTTAGGCGGCCATGTGGTTGAGATTCTATGGGGTGTAGCTTTCATATCATATATAGAAGACACCTGTCTTATGGCAGGCATCCCTGTACTCTGGCCCTTAACAGTCTTTCCACACATATCCCTCCTTCAGTGCCCTCTGTATAGATTACATTGTAGATGTACCAGTTGGGGTTGGACACCCCACAATCACTCATTCTCTGCATTTGACCAGTCTTTATTTTAAAAGATGGATATATATATACATATATACATATATATATATATATATATATCAGGACAATTTGTAGGAGGGGGTTTAGTTTTCTCCTTCCATAGTGTGAGTTCTAGAAACCAAACTCCAGGTTCTTAGCCTTGGCATCAGTCTCCCTTACTCACTGAGCCATCTCACTGGATTACATGAGAGTTTTTTCACTTGTACATATGTATTTGTTTGCCTTGGGATATCCCTTTAAAATGAAATGACATTGGGTAGGTACCATGGTTTTAATGCGTCTCCAAAAATTCATGCCCTGGTATTTGGAGGTAGAACATTTGGGAGATGATTGGGGTGAGATGAGGTTGTAAGTATGGGACCATCATGATGTTACTAGTGACTTTATAAGAGACAAAATTCACCTAACCTAGCAAACCACTATCTCACCATGTGATGCCTTTTCCATTTTGCAACACAACAGAAACCCCCTCTTAGAAGGCAATAATATTCTAGTACCATGCTCTGAGAATCCCTAGCCTTTGAGACCATAAGTCAAATAAGTCTGTCTTCTATGTAAAGTACTCAGTCCCAAGTGTTTTATTATAGCAGTGTAAAATAAACTAAGAAGACAAACCTATGTCTCATCATAAAAGTTCTGTTGTAGCTTTCATGTGAGCCTATGTGCACACACTCACTCATAAGGAGGCCAAATCAGATGCAGTTGGTTTCACACCAGTCCAAGAAAACATGTGTCAAAAGCTACCAGAAAGAGGAAAACCTCCGCATGAATGACAAACTCCCAATAACATGAATTCTTTATAAATGGCTCAGAGAGAACTATGTCACCTGCTTTTAAATAATGACAGCATCTCACCGGTCTTGCATAGAGCAACAATGGTCAATACTAAAATCTCCCCATGAAGCAAAGGATGGCAAAGTTCTCCAAAGGTGACCCCATCAACAGGGAAGCATGGCAAAAATGTACATTCTCCCCAGGCCAGACCAACTGAGCAGAAACTGACCTTTCTATCATCTGGAATTGAACACATCTGGACAATTTGCTACATTATCTGGCCTAAGAAACACTTGGATATCTTTCATGTCTTTTCAAATTTCCTGGCTTGACTCCATCAACAGTTACACTATGCCAGGAACACCGTCTCACTATCGCTGGGTTCCTTGCACAGAGCTTCGGGGATCACCCCCTCAGAGCCTTGAGACCTTCATTAAGCTCTCCTCCAGGAACCAAGTTAACACACAGAGTGCCCACATGCTCGCTTCTTTTCCCCAAAGCTCCAAACTACTAAAAAAAAGCTATGTACTTTTCTAAGTTATATACTATATAATAGTAAAATATATATACATAGATATACTCAGACATATATATAGAGAGAGATACCTTAGAAAATCATCAGCATTAAAATTCAAACAGAACCACCTATTCAGTTCCATGTGGCTCACCTTGACATATCAAAGTATAAACACAGCTAAGAAAATGAAAGGACAAGAGTTTTAGGTGTTGCACTCCAACACTTTTTACTGTCCCAGAACCCAGCAAATGTACACATCAGCAGGAAATCAATCGAACTTGAATAGGAAGAATTTGAGTAAAAATATTGGTATTTTTTCCTTTAATCTTCAGTTTAAGCATGGTTGCCACTCAACATTATAAGAAGCCAGAAGTCTTGATCTTGTCTAGGTATTCCTGCGTGCTTAAAATTTGCCCCAGTCTCTGAAGATCCTTTCCAGCTTCTGGCTAAGGAAAACTTTGCCTTTCACTTTGAACTTGCCAGCCAGGAAAGCCTTCTGTGGGTTCATCTTACCCACAGCTAACTCCATGAAGACAGAGTCAGGGATGATGAAGACAGTGTCTGCTGGAAGCCGGGCAGATCCCAGGTATGTGTCCCCAGAACCATTCTTGAGGTCAATGGTCCACTGCAGAATGGTCTTCCCATCTTTGGTGATGTCCAGCTGAAAGATGGCATTCACTTTCTTTACAAGTTGGGCTCCTGCTTCTTTGATGTGATGGCTAATATCCTCAAACACGGAGAAGCCCTGAAAGTCTGACAGTTCTAGAGGGTGTGGCAGTGCCGGCTCTGTGGCCGATCCCAGAGCCAGAGAATGGCAAGTCTGAGGCCTATCCCCTGCTTTGATCTTGGCCTGAGGATCAGTTCTCTTCCACATCTTACTGTGGTCCTCTTGACCTTGCCATCTGGTCTATGAGTGGCTGTGGCCAGATTAATGCCTGCAGGTCAGATTGTGACATCAAAGGCAAGGCTCAAGCAGGGACTGAGGCTGGTGTGTGTGCTGAAATCTTATTGGTCAAACAAATCCTAAAATATGACATAGGATGGGGGCTCAGGCATGTAATTGTGAGGCATAAATATACCATACCCTCATACCCTCCCCCGACACACACACTACCACCACTACCAAACCAGACCAACTAGAACTTCTAGTGCCACAAGGTCAAAGGTCTGAACTCTGGTGTGAATCGGGAACCTGACTCCAAACTGCTCTTTAGTGACATGAACTGTATCTTTCCAAAGCAGGCGTCTTCCAGATTTCAGCCCTGGCTGAGAAACTGGTTATTTTGATTTCTTTAAAGGTACACAATTCCTAAGTCACAAATCCTGGTGGTAGATTTAGTTTTATCAGGACACTAGTAGAGAGAAAAGCAGAAGAAAAAAAGAGAGAGAAGCAAAGAGAGAAAGATATCCCTGAGATGCTCCCCGGATCCTGGCAGGACAATAAAGAGATAACTGAGTGAATGAAGACTGAGAAAGAAAAAGCTCCTCCCCACAGCACAAATCCAATTATCAAACCTCAAAAGAGTGATGAAAATAGATCAAATGACCACTTGGCACCATCATGCAGTTGCAAGTGTGGGCCAAATATAGATGCAAAGAGGAATGGGCAAAGTAGGACATTTGAAACATCTGAACTGAAATTGCTATTTACATGTACTGTTTGCAAAGAGAAAAAAACCAATACCCAGGAGACAGGGAGATGGCTCCATCAGTCAAACCACTTGCTGAGAAAGCATGAGGACCTGAAGTTGACTATCCAACATTCACATAAGCTTCACATGTCTGTGACTCCATCATTGCAGGGCAGAGATAGGCAGTATCCAGGCCTCAGTGATCCCCCCCTACAGCCTAGCTGAAATGGAGAGCTTTTGGATCAGTATGATGATGTGCCTTAATACCAAAAGGTGGAGAATGATAAAGATACCCAATGTGTCTTCCTTTTAGATTTGCATGTACTCACAGGCCCTGCACCTTCACACTCACACACATATCACACACACACACACACACACACACATACACACACACACACACACACACACCACAACCAGCAGCAACAACCACCACCAACTCTAACAGAAACAATTGTAATCAAGTGGTCAAGGTCAATGCCAGCATTAAAAAGACCTAGCATCATGTACATATCTGATATGTTGCCCTGGAGAGAGCACAAGATCACCATACATTACAAGTTCAGAGCCAAGAAAACTCTTAAGTTCAACATAGCCATGGGAAAACATTAGACAGATCTCAAACAAAAGATACTCTGTGGGAGAGTCGGCAGGTACTTCTCCAGTGTGTCAAGGTAATGATAGACAAGACTGAAGAAGTGTTACAGATTTTAGAGTACAAGGGAAACAGACAACCAAAATCAGTACGGAATCCTGAGCCATAATCTAGACTCTGCATCAGAATATGGGGTATTAGTGGGCCAATAGGCAAAACTAGCCTATTGGTTCTAGTTCAATCAGCAATGTCAATGTTAATTTCTTAGATTGGATCCTCATTGTGTAGGATGCCCAGTCTGCAGATATTATTTTTTTGATAGGTTTCTAGTCATTTTGCCTCTGTTCAAACCTGGCCACACTATTTATGAGCTTTCTTAACTTCCTATTTACTGATTTCCACCAGTTTTTAATCCATTAAACTGGGATAAAAGAGATCCTACCTCAGAGGTTGTAATGAAAATTAAATGTTCTAAGGCAAGTAGAACACTTAGAATTCACCACCACAGCTCGGAGCAGAGGCTTTGGTGACATATCCCATTTCTTATACTACCAAAGCTAGGCCATTTTGTTACAATAGCCCAAGAAAGCATACTCCACATACATACCTGGCTCAGTGTGGGGTCGTTGATTCACTTGTTTCAGCTAGTCTAATAGGGATGCAGCCCACATATCTTTTAATTCTAAGACAGACAACTGTGACAGGAAACCTATTCAGAGGTCTGAGGAACAACATTTCTATGTTAGATATGGCTTTAGGGGATGACATGATTGCATGTAGTAGATGGGATTGTTATCCAAGCAGAATTTTCCCACTCTGTTGAAAGAATATGCCAGAACAAATTACAGGTCTCAACTTTGCACATTGCAAAAACAATTATTCATCTACAGCCTTGCAATGGCTTTCACTATAAGAGTGGCCATGGCCCCACCATTTATAGCTGGGCATGACCATGAGACCTGCTGTGGGTAGTGGGACGTTTGTGACATCAAATGAGCAGAGCTTGAAATGTGTCAAGGTAGCTGGGCTTGTACCCATGTGCTTTAGTTATGACCATTAGAATATTGCTTCCTGGGCAGCTGTGAGTACAGGGAAGAGACACGTAGAGCTGACCTAGCCCAAATCCAACAGAAGCCAACTTTGATCCTCCAAACAACAATCTCCCTGTTCATCCATGAAATAAATTTGAGTCCTTTGATGCCTCTGAACTTTGAAGTTATTATTTGGCATTACTGAGGTTCTAGCTGATTTGTATGCAGAAAACATAAGCTGCCAACAGGCCTTGGGACCAGGATCTTCAGTCTGGAAACAGACATGTCTTGGGAAATGACAGGCTGCAATCTCTCTGCATGAGAGATACGCGTATCCAATACTGTAACTTGCCTGAGACAACAGAAAGCAAGGTAACAAACCTAGTGGTTTTGTTTACACGGTTGCTGCAAGAAATGTGATTTGTTGACCAGCAACAGTGGCATCCCTGGAAGCTGTGTAGAAAGACAAAATCTCAGGCCCCATCTGAGATCTGCTATGGCAATATCTGTCTTTAACAAGATCCCTAATGATTTCACCGCTCCTTAAAACTTGGCATAGGAGGATCCATATGCCCACTTGCACACCTGCCACAACCCCATTGGCTTGAAAATAAAAGCAATTTTATAATGCGTTCTGGAGTTAATATTTACAAATAGCAAGCACAGAGTTAGGGAATAGTACAGTAAAACTAAGAAAGCATTTAATTTAAACATTTTCAGTTTGTTTTTATTTGTTCCTTTACTGTACCAGGAATTGAACTCTGGGCCTCACACCAGTGAGGCAAGGACCCTACCAACAAGCTATTTCCCCAACCTTTTTTAACTTTATAGTTGAACTCACTCTGTAGCCTGGACAGGTCTTAAATTTCAATCCTCTGGCCTCAGCCTTCTCAAACTTTTTTTTTTCTTTAGGAATTTTTAGACTTCAGAAAGTACAGAATGTCCTCAAATATTCCCTCTCCCTCTTAACACAAGTTCCTGCTATTCACACTTTCCATTAATGTGGTACAATTGTTATAACTGCTGAACCAACTTTCATACACTATTATTAACTAAAATTCATAATGCCAAGTAGGTTTCACAGTTTCGTACATTCCATGGGATTTTACCAAATGCATAATGCCATGTAGTCATCTTTGCGGTGCCATGCAGGGCACTGCCACAACCCTCACCACCAACCTAGGAAGACCACTCATCTGTCTACTATCGATAGTGTTTCCCCTTTTAGAATTTCATATAGTTGTAAACATACACTATGTAGCCTTTCCAGATTGCCTTCTTCTCCTTATAAACTATTCTTATGATGTCTCCTGTGGCTGGAGAGATGGCTCAGCAGCTAAGAAAGTTTGCCACTCTTTGAGAAGATCAAAGCTCGATTCTTAGCACTCACATCAGGGGCCTCACATCTGCCTGTTAGGGGTCCCTCTTGTCTTCACATGTATACACTACACACACACACATACACATACACACACACAGAAGAGGGGGTGATTTTTAAAAACTATAAACTTTACATTTGTTCCCTGTACTCACATGCGCATACCCACACACATACATACACATCACATACACCATATAATTACAAAACTTTAAAAGAATTCTCCATCTCACTTCACATTTCATTTCTCTTTTTATTAGTAGTAAATAATGTTCTATCATGTTACCATAGTTTACTCATCTTCCTTTTGACAGTGGTCTGGACCAGTTATTTCCAGGCTCTTATACAAATGTGGAGTTAAAGTCCACACAGATTGAAATGTAGTATGAAATCTTTATTCAAGAATGACAGCAGGTCATGTGATTAAAGATTCTCAAGGACTCTGATTATTGTCTGGGGTTTTCTTTTATGAAGTTCAAAACAAGTAAACAGTATTTTCCAAGCACAACAGGGCAGTTGCATATAGGAACACACAGAGACTGTGACACATACAAGATCTGTGCAAGCTCTCCATGGGGCGAGCATGGAAGGTAGGCACAAAACCCTATCAGCAGCTGAGGGGATATTGGCACTTGATAGCTGCTTAACATGAGAGTCAGTTTTCTGTAATGGCATGACCCTGGTAGGCTGACCCCACATCAGGTCAGGCACGTTCTCAAGAGTAGTTGGACAATACAATCCAGGCTTAATGTGGGAAAAAGAACTCTCAAAGTTGGATGAGAAAGCATGGAAGGTAAGAGGGTAGCTATTGGAGGAATTAGTGGAAGAAGGTGCATACATACAAAATAAATGGCATGAAATTCTAAAAAAAAATCAACAAAATTTTTTTCTATGCTCACCTGTTCCACCCTGAAGGATATTTTGATGCTACCAAGTTTGTCAGTTACAAATAAGGATACTATTGACTTGCAAAATTTTGTGTGGATGTAAGTTTATGCCCTTTTCCAACTGTCACTGTTGTTTCCTGAACAGTCACAATCCTCCAACCTCCATGGAGTAAATCCTCATACTGTTCCTAAGTAGTCACAAATCTTGTTTTCATTTTACAAGTGTGGAATGGGGAGGCTGATAACCTGTCCAGGTATATAAAGCTGATAACTTTGGGTTTACGGGGTTATGGATTTGGAAATATCAAATTAATGGGGACTTGGGTTTTTTGTTGTTGTTGCTGCTGCTGCTGCTGTTGCTTTTGCTTTTGCATTTGAGACAAGGTTACTCTGTGTAGCCCTGGCTGTCTTGGAATTTTCTCTATATACCTGGCTGGCCTTGAACTCACTTCATCACTAATGGAATCCCAATACAAATGGCCACCAAACATGCTGAAAGTA